TTTTTGGGGAGAAACCAAGGTGGCTTTCTGCCACAGAACCAACCCTATGAACTGTCAGCCATCTACGTTTTCCCTAGTTAACTTAGGTGCTTAAAGTTCTGCTGTCATGCCAGCATCTTGGTTGGACTAAGATTTTGGTGCCTATTAGGGCTGTGCAAATCTTCAGTCGCTGATTTGATTTGACAGAGATTCGGTCCGATTTGGTGGCTGAATCTCCAAATCCAAATCAAACCAGCAGACCCTTTAATCTCTCCAAATCGAATCGGAACTCTCCAAATCAATTCAGAAATATTCCACGGTTCAAACATAGACACAGCTTTTAAATGTTTTTTCTACATACCTTAAGGTACCAGGCAGCTCGTGAATGCTGAGATGCTGGGTCGGATGGAGCGTCTCACAGGAGCGTGGGGGAGTCCCCAGCGTGTTTTGGCAGGAGACTCGAAAGTGGACCAGAAGCACTTCCAGTCCACTTCCGGGTCTGCTGAGGAGCATGCTGGAGGGCTCCCGCCCATACCTCCCCAGCTCAGTAACTGGTGCCTCTTGGGCCTGGATAGCCAAGCCGGAGGGACCCCCCGTTCATGCTCAGCAGTAGGCCCAGAAGTAGACCAGAAGTACTTCTGGTCCACTTCTGGGTTCACCACTGAGCATGCGGGAGGTCCCCCTGCAATCCTGTGGGATGCTCTATCTGCCCCAGCATCACAGTGTTCATGAGCTGTGCCTGGTACCTCGAGGTACGTAGAAAAACCATTTAAAGCTGTGTCTGTGTCTAAATCGCTGATTCTCTGATTCTTCAGATTCTGATTCGGCTGAACTGAATCAAGGACAGTGATCCAAATCAACAAATCAAATCACTGTCCCTGATTTGATTCAGCTGAATCCAAATTGAATAGGGCCCATTTCTCACACCCCTAGTGCCTATCTAATCACTGTGCAGGAAGAGTGAGTTGGTTGGAGGAAGGAGCTGAGTACAGCCTTCTTCCCTGTAGGTTAGACACAAGGAATAGCAGTGGATGCTGGTAGGAGAATACACAGTGGGGCATGAAGTGCTGTGGAAGCCTGCTAGAGAAGCGGGGGATATGGAGAAGATGCCCAGGGTGGTAGGGGGGGGGAAAAACTTTCTCAGGGAGTTGAGTTAAACTCAAGGGTTAAATTGCTAGCCATCAGTTTGGTTGGTGAGGAGAAGGGAACTTGTAGAAGTCTACCCAGTGGGAAACTGATAGGTAGGGAAGACTGGTTTGGGGAGTGTGAAGAGCAGATGTTCAATGAAAATTGAGTTTGCATTTTGCACATAACAAATGTTTTCTTTGCATTTAAGACTGTAGATCTCCCTGTAGTTGTCTGATAGTGCTGTGTGTGGGCAAGGGGAGTTCAAAGACAATATAACAAAACCATGACTTGAGCTTTTTTAAAAACCATGGCTTTTTAGTCATTTTTTATGGATTCTGACACTTTTTTTTTTAACTTCTAGAGTTGATAGTTGACTGCTGAGAAGCAAAATTCCTATTAAATTTCATATATTTAGCTGAATTAAATTGAAATTTCCTGTGTTTTATGCAGTGTCAGAGAGGTATTCTGTTTTGAAAGCATAGTTGACATACATTGATCAGAAATGCCAGTTCTCGTTTTAAACTTTTTAAGGAACTCTGTAAATATCTTAAACATCTGCAAAATTAAAGCCCTCTACATGTTATATTCATTTTAGATAACCAGTGCACTCCAAAGAGTGGATCTCCAGTGACCCATAAATCTCCATCCAGTGCCTTGTCAACAGTATTGCATAGTATTCCATCTGGAAGAAAACAGAAAAAAATTCCTGCTGCTCTCAAAGAAGTGAGTGTTTTCCTCATGCTTTATCTCATTGGTGTGAAATTGTCCATGTTAATAACAATAAAAATAAATATAGCTCTTCTATAATGTCCTAGTTCTTTTCTCAGTGAATCTAAAATACTTCTGCTGACTCAGTCTGACAACTAAAGTTTAGCTTTAGTATTGACCTGGGGTCAGTTTTGATTTGAACATAGCCACACTGAAAACTTGTGTGTAAGCTGGTCCACAGTAACAGATGGGATGCATACACTTCAGAGTCAGAATTCTTCCTCCCCTGCTTCCCCCCACCATCTAGGGATGTAGCAATTTTACTTCTGACCGAGAGAAATGGCAAATTACAATGACCTCACAACAGTTCAGTTGTACAGGCTAGTAAATGCAGAAAGTGGAGCTAAAAATGCAGCCTGCTTGCACTAAATGGGATGTGCTTCAGTATAGGAAAACATAAAAATAAGCACAAAACCCCATGCAAAGTTGTTTCTACTTCCTCCTCTTCTGTTGCTCAAATCTATATCCAAGTTGTGAGCCAAGACTCGCTTGCAGGCCCAATGAACGGGCACAGTCCATGTAATTTTTTATTTGGGCATAATAAGTCATGTGGAGGAGGGTGAGTTAACAGAGAACTTAGGATCAGGTCAGAGTCTGAGAGAGCATGGCAATAAAAAAGTGAAATCCTCTGAGCTCTGGAAAAACATTAAAGAAGAAATGGGGAGATGTCAAACCTTTTTATGTTTTGTGTGTTTGTGAGGTGTCTTGAATGTTTTCTGATGTTTTGTTGTGCTGATATGGTATATGTGGTCTCACTGGAAAGCTCATGTTATGCTGTATCCATTTATGTCACTTATTACTGTATAGATTATGTTGTGCTGTCTATGTATATCATGATGATTTTGGAAATGTTTTAGCTAAGGGACTTGGAGATACATATGTAAGAACTATTGCCACTTCTACATACAGACAGAGCCATTATTAGACCCAACTCATTTTTTCCCTGTAATGGGAGAAAAAAGAAATGGCCCATCAGCCAGAGAAAGGGAGGGAGGATGGTTGGATTGAATTCTGATGATTCATGAGCAATGAAAAGAATGCTGATTGGAAGGCGGGGGGGCATGCAAAGACTGACTTTGAGGTTTATTATGTTGTTGTTTTGGTGGGGGGTTGTTTTTTTTTTTATATATAGAAAGCCTAGCCAGGTTAGAATTGTGTTATTTGCAACCCAGGCTTTGGATGATCCAGGCCCCGGAAGTCATGGCCATTAGGTGAGTCTTCTTGATGATTCTCTAGAAACACTGGTGGTACTCCCAGGAGGCTAGGGGGTAGCCAGATGAGAGGTTAAGAAACTTTACCTATCTTTTTTTGTTCTGTTTCCAAACTTATAGTCAGTTTTGCTTATATAACTCTTGTTTCCTAGATGCAAGACTTTTTTATTGCTTTGTCTCCTTATTGCCTATGGAAAGAGTGAACTCTGGGTGAGTGGTATTCCAGGCTAGCTCTTTCTATAGAAAGGGGAACCTAAAATTTCTTTCGCAAGCCAAAGTGGAGGCCATGTGGAGCTAGCAAAGATTCCCCTGCAGCTGTGAGGTCTGGTATAAAGGCAGTGGAGCTGAGGCTTTTGAAGATAAGAAGCTATCCCAGGGAAAAACTTGGTCTGTTCTTTGGGACAAGCAGTGGTACAGTGGAGAGAAACTCAGGGCACTGTGGGTACTCTGTGGACAGGCTTGTGACGAGAGGTGCATCAGTGGAACTGATATAGAATGGAAAAGCACATTTAAAAGCTGTTATTAATATGCATGTGTAACAACTGGTAAAATAGTGTTCTTTTTCAGACAGAGTTTTGATATGTGGTTAAATGATTTTTTTTTCCCATTCTGCAACTAATAATGTCATTTAGGTCTATTAATTGTTTCAAGAAGGATCATAAAATTTTTAAAAATTAACTGTTATTGAAACTAACAGTATTCTAAGTTCTTTGCTCTGATACCAAATGAAAGCAGTGCTGTTTTAAAAAATAAGAGTACTTCTAAAACATTGGTGAATAGCAACTTGTGTCAGCTCTCTGTAGACTAACCTCCCATCAACCAATGTCTGGGAAATGAATTTCAAAGTTGTGCACTCGTGTCATTTTATGCATTAGCCCTTGCACAGACATGATTTATTAATGGGATTTTTATTTTCAGTTTTTCTTTGACACTCAGGCGGACATCAGGAGGTATCTGCTTTCATATTAAAGCTTTGCTCATTGAGCTTTGAATATTTTGATATATTCCTTTGTACATACCTGGTATGAAAAATGTTACATACGAGGCCTTCAGTGCTACCAGTAACATAGGCCACAAACAGATGCATAGGCAATGCGTAGGGCAGGCATGGGGGAGCACGTGCCCCTCCCTGAAATTGGCCCTGGCTGGCTGAGGAATGAGGAGCACCAGCTAGTGCCCCCCCACACCCCTGCCTCGAAGCTCCAGCAGTGCTTCTGGGCTCAGCGATCAGCCACTGGCCCCCCACCTCCCTCTGGTCAGCCACTGAGGTCTGGGGAAATGGGTGGGGAGCAGTCTCTTTCATTCTACTCACTGTGGGAGCCAAGTGCAGGGACCAGTTCTGTATGCAGGGAGAGGAGCACCAGGGGCAAATCTCCCTAACCCAGTGCATCTGTGAGGAGTGGTCAGGGGCCTTGCCCTGCTATCCTAGAGAGAGCCTCCCTGAGCCCAGTTCCTCCCTGGCCAGCTTCCACTTGTGCACCTCCCCTCCTCAGCTGAACAGGGAGGAGGTGGGAAGAGCTGGCAGGGGACAGCTCTGAGAGGGAGCAGCAGGGCAAAGCCCCTGCCTGCTCTTTACACTGGGAATTCTAGCATGAGAAGCAGGCAGGGTGTAGCTGGGCACTGCTTCTCCACTCCCCTCCTAGACTGCAGAACGGGTGGGAGCAGCTGCCTCCCCATGCCTTGTCCAGACTTGTGACCCTGGTCTCTGGAAGGCACAGAAGCCTTTCACTTAACTGGTCCTGGTCCCCAAGAAGAGTTAAGGCAGGGGCCAGCATGGAAATATTCAGTCAGCCCAGAACTCTCCTGGGAACAACTTCACTCTGGTTGTTCCTAAGTTATTTTTTTTCCCAGTGTGACTGTTTTTGTTCCGGGAGAGAAAGCTTGAATGCCTGCCCACATGTGGTTTCTACTGGGAGAACAGTGATTCTCCCAGTAGAAACTCAGTGTCTGTATGCAGCAATATTGAACTTTGCTATATAACTCTGCTATGTCGACATTTCATGAGGCATGAGCAAACAGCTAGGGCCTCCCTTGAAACTTGTTCCTTTTTTCCTAATTGAAGGGCTGTTATCTGGAAAATCATAGGAAAAACCACAGAAGTTTTCTACTCCGGCTTGAACTTTTTTGAGCTCTGGAAATGCACTTTACAGATAGTAATGCTCAACCATGAAAGGTGTGTCATTTGCAGAGATAATTGTTCTAATCCGAGTGTAATGAACATTAATTTTAAAATTGCACCCTGTGGCTACCTGTTTCCTAGACACACAAGTTGTATTCTTGATTCACAGTCTAATATCAAGCTGCATCTTTATGGTGGAATTGTGAAACTGCTGTTTACTGTTAAGAATGTAAGTTTTCCCCAAGGTTTTTCATGTGACAGTTGTATCAGTTGATGTGCAGTGAACTTCTATTGTTTAAACTTCAGTATTCTGAACCTCTTTGTATACAGTGACCTGGCAGTATATTTCTATCCTATTTCTACCTGTTGATATCCGATTATCTGTAGTCCTTATTTTTATGAATGTATCTGGTGTTGTCTAAGTTCTTCTATTTATTGGGATTCTGCTATGTTAAGCATTCTTAGAATAAAATATGGAAGAGACAAGAGCTTGAAATACAGTGGATTATGCGAGGTTTTTCCCTGAATAGGGCAATCCCCTTCTGAAGTCATTGGCATCGCCCAGTAGAGCTAAATCAGGTCACATTTTATTTCAGGCTGCTTAAGTCCATAGATCCAAATGTATGTAGCCAGTCAGTAAGCAGATTCAGTATTTTAACATTTGATGCCATCATTGGCCTGCAGACATTATCTCAAGTTCTGGGGGTGACGCATAGGGGGTGCACAGGGGTGCATGTGCACCCCCTGAGAGCACTGGTGCACCCCCCGAAAGCTAACGGTCCTCTCTTAGGTGATGGGCAGTGAGGACAGGCGAGAGCTGGTGCCCCCTCTGAGGGTGCCAGCCAGGGAGTGGGGGTGCCAGGAGAAGGGATCCCTGAGGCCAAAAAAAGGTCAAGTGCAAAAATAATTTTAAAAAATGCAAAGTTAGCAGGATGTTGAAACTTAAATCCAAGGAAAACAGCAGTTGTTCATCTTTTACCCACAGAGAACTGTTTCCCTTTTTAGTTGTTCCTGCTTTAATTACTCTTTTGATACTCAGCAGTTTGACTTTTAACAGTATCATGATGCTCACAGTTTAAGTGAAACATGGTCACTGGTGAAAGTGTGTTTCTCCTAAAGTAAATAAACAAATAAAATAAACCATGGGTTTACTTGATTGCTTTTAATTGACAAACCTATATCTGCCTCATCACTAAAAGATCAGAGATCTTTGAATATAGATGTTTTCCTAAGAGAGTTTCCTACCTGCCAATAAAAACAAAGGTTTAGCTTTAAACTGCTAAATCTTTTGCAAATAGGATCTACCTTTTTAAAATTTTGCTCTCAGGTACAGATTGTAAGTTTGGGCTCACTTTCATTGATCTATTTAGAAACAACACTTTAATTTTTAAAAAGTTTCTGCCCTTTTGTTCCCCTTGGCAGCTTACCTATTTTTAAAAAGATCCAGATGTTTCTGAAGGTCTTCAATTATAGGTGTCTTACCTTCTTAAAGTGTAGTCCAAAGATGAAAATGAGTAGCTGCTGTCTGAAAGCCATGTAGCAGAGTGCAGAAAGTTAATTCATTGGAGTATGGAGTTGAATCTATGTACACATGTGGTATGTATAATATAAAATGTTTTTGTAGCTTATTGAACTATTTTATACTACTGAAAAATTACCCATATCTGAACATTTACAACAGCAAAGATGCTTTAGTTCATGGAAGCTTGGAATTTAGTGCTGAATATAACTTCTTTTCCTTGTATATGTTAATTTGTCATGATCTGTGCTACAGAAAAATTGCATCTTCTGCTTTTCAGAAGAAACTGTGTGGAAGGTATAAGAGCCTGTTTGAAGCTTTAGATGTTACTCATATTACTTTAAATTCCAGCCAAAAATTGCAAGTATTCAAAGTCATATTCATATTCTACTTTTTTAGGTGTCAGCAAATACAGAAGACTCCACAATGAGTGGTTATTTGTATAGATCTAAGGGCAGCAAGAAACCATGGAAACACCTTTGGTTTGTCATTAAGAATAAGGTGCTATACACGTATGCTGCCAGTGAGGTAAGACAGTGTTGAAAGCTAAATGAGCATGGGAGAATGTTTGTTTGTTTTTTAAATACTTTATAATATTACCAGATTGCAAACTAGTTCATGTAACTCTAATATAGTATTTTGAGTTTTCTTTGAAGGAAGCAGAAAAATCTTTGTGTTTAATCTGTTAGGTAGATGGTCTTCCTTTCTTGAACTAAACAAATCAGTAGTAACCTTTTAAAGTAAGTATCTGTTTTTATGGATCAGCTTTCAATAATGGTAGCTGCCAAAGTGTGAAAGCCTTTAGGAGTAACTTTGCTTGCTCTTCCACTAGGTTTACCCCTCTGGCTTCAGAAAAGCATATTGAATCTCTTGGTTTGTTCTTTATCTACACCCTGCCACAGTTTCATAATGTTCAATGCCCTTACTTAAAAAGGGGAAACGTATTGTCCCTTACCCCAGTCCCTTTCTGTTTAATAGTGGTTAAAATTAGTGAAGAACATAGTATTATATAGCCAGTAGATGTGAATGCCATAAACCTCAGTTTGTTGTACCGCTTTACAATATAGGGCAAACAAGAAAGCCAGCAGTTGTTTTTTTTTTTATACTGCTTGTATTCTTTCTCATAAGTCCTATGTTGAGCAGAAAATGCAAAGCATCGGTTAACAGATGCTTTAGTCCCTTGCAGTTACTAAGGGAACGGTATGTCTCTCCTCTCCTGATACTTTCAAGTATACCTCTTCAGGTCTCTGGCCTTGGAATCGGGCATTTTTCAGACCTAGGTTGTAGTCCCTGGTACTAACCATGACTACCTCAGCAGACCTAGTTTCTCAGAACCCTGAAATTCTGTCGTACCAGGGCAATTAGTGTTATAATAACATCCTTAAAACCCCATATAATTTATTTACACAAAAGCACTTTAGAGAAAATTGGTATTAAAGGATAAAGCAGAATATAAGCATGCTGTCACTTGTTTAACCTTTTTTCTACTTGGATTCCTATAAGAACTAACCTCCCTATAAATTCTTCCACAGATCTTCTTGGGGTACGTTGATGTTGCTTCCCTAGCAGTGTTGGGGATACCACTCAAACCTATGCCACCCACCCATTTCTGCTTTACACATGACTAGGGATCTACCAAATTCACAGTGGAAGTGGGCTGCACAGCAGCTCCTTTTAATCTTGCAGGTTCCCCCATGTGCCTCCCCCCTGCCAGTTGGCGGAGAGGCCCCACTGCTCACTCCTGATTGGCAGGGAGGTGAAAACCGGGGTTATAAATATGGTACCATTTTTGCCTCCTGGCCAGTCAATACCAAGCAGCTGGGCCACCAGGGTCTGTCAGCCAATCTGCAGTATGGGGAGCTGCAATGGATTGTACCCTCCAGTTGAGTGGTTTCCAGATCCTTTCAAACCTAAGTTAATAAAATAGACTGTTTAGAAATTATATACAAAGATGGTAACTTTGAAAGTTTTGAGCTAGTCCAGTGTATACAGAAATTTCTAGAGTAGGGGTGGCTAACCTGCAGCATGTGTAACAAGTGGCACAGGCAGCCTCAGTGTGTAGCATGTGGCAGATTGGGAAGGGGACAGGTAGCACAGTATAATTTAAGGCAGAGGATGGAAAGCAGAGCAGCAAATCACCAGGGAACAGAAGCAGAGGGGCAAAAGGGTATCAGAGTAGCATTAGGGGAGGATATGTGGCACACCTACCAAAAAGGCTGGCCCCCACTGCGCTAGGGGTTTTTTTGAGAGGAAGTGGTGGAAAAGTAGAAAAAGGAGAAGGTGGACATAAATGGAGCAAAAAGGAAGAAAAAGAAAAATTGAAAAAATGAATATGTTAAGTTATTGGAAATACTACAATGTTTTTGTAGTGACATATTTTTTTTATTATCTGTAACACAAAAGCATAGAGATAGACCAATGCAACAAATTTAGTTATGTGAAACTGGTTTGTTTGTTTGTCTTTGAGTGGCTTTGTGCTCTCAATCTTGGATAGACCGTACTTGTATCCCAATCTAAAAATTTAAGAATTGTCATAATGGATCAGGCCAAAAGTTCATGTAGTCTCCAAGATCAGATTCTTCAAAGGAAGCAGTAAGAACATCATAATAGAAATGAAAGAGGGCTAAGTTATTTCCACTTACCTTTCATTTTATGGGGGAACAGCATGTACACAGACAGATGGAATGGAACAGTTGACACGCAAGTAAACCACTACCCTCATTTACCTCATGGTAATTAATTGGTATGCTCATCCCCTTACAGTTCAGGTAACAATGAAATAGTGTAATGCTTAGATAGCTAAACTACCACACTAAGACTAATATCAGCTCTAATGTAGTGTTTGTGTGTTAAACTAGGATGTAGCTGCATTAGAGAGTCAGCCTTTACTGGGATTCACAGTCACTGAAGTAAAGGATGAGAACTCAGATTCTAAAGTCTTCCATTTGCTGCACAAAAACACTTTATTTTATATATTCAAAGCTGATGATCCCCATTCAGCTCAAAAGTAAGTAACCATTTTAACTCAGCCCTTTCTGTTGTTTTTTCCCCCTATAATACATGTTTCAGGTGTCATTTCATTAATGTTTTGAGTCAAAGTGCTTGCATGAAATAACTCAGATGCCTGGCACCCTTGGGCTCCCCATAGCTTGGGTTTGGGGTGGGTTGGGACTGCCTGAGAGCTCTGGCATTCGCCGTATGCAGGTCCCTGCGTATCCCCAGTCTGGGCCCCCAGGGAGCAGCATGGATGGTGGCTGTGTGCCCTAAGCCCCACTGTGGAGGCAGCCACTGCCAGTGGGAAGAAGCAGGATTTCTGCGGAACCACCTCCTGTAGCCCCTCGCACAGCACTGCACACCTGGCCCTAGCCCAGCACTACCAGAGCCCAAGCCATGCCCAGTGCTGCCGCTGCCACAACACCAGGCAGAGCCACCACTCTCTTCCCTGCACTGCCTGTGCTCCCACCGGACCTTCACAGACCCACCAGGTCCTGGTGAGAGTCCACGCAGTGCAGGAAGGAGAATGGTGGCTCTGGGCGCAGCTCAGGCTTCGGCAGCACTAAGCTGGGGCCAGACATGTGGCACTGCAGGGTGGGTTCCATGGGAATCCTGCTTCTGCCTGCTGGCAGCAGCTGCCTCCATGGGAGCACAGGACCACCATCACCACTGCTGCCCGGGGCCCTGGACTGAGGATGCACAGGGAACCATGGCCTCAGAGGCAGCTTGTGCCAGAGCTCCCAGGCGATTTCTGACCCTCCCCGATCCTGAACTGTGGGCCCGAGGGTGCCAGGCAGCCCTGCTGAGGTAGCTTCATTCAGGTGCTGGTGGGATGTGGTCTCCAGATGGCTGCAGCAGGAAGTGGGTGGGGGTACCTTAACCCACAACCCATATCTAGGGCACTGAGCAGCTGGCCTGGCAGTACTGGGGGTTCAGGGCTGCCTGACATCCTCAGGCCCACCTGAGACCCACTGAGGAAATAAGCAGGGAAGTTTGGACCCAGGCTGGGGCTGGAGCAGCTGCCCCCAGTCCGGTCTGCCCGTGGCTGCCACTGCTGGGGCAAGGCAGGGTGAGCCGACTGCTGCTGGGGCCATGCCCTAGGCCTCGAGAAGCTCCAGAGGCCCTGCTCAGATTATGCATCCTGCCAGAGCATGCAGAGATGCCCTCCCTCTGAGCTCCAGACCCCCCAGTCCTGCAGGCAACCCCCGTTCCTTGGCTCCAAACCCCACACACATCCACAATCCCCACACCTTCACAAATTCCACCACCCCCAACCATACAAAGTACCTGCAGAATTTTGAAGTTTTTTGTGCATAATTTTGAGTTTTTCACTGTGCGATTTAAAGTTGCACTTGAGACCCAATGTTTTTTAATCGCACAACTAATTGTGATCAATTTTTTAAATTGATTGACAGCCCTAATTCACATATTTACTCAAGCTGCCTGTAAAATACAAGATTTGCTTTTATGTTTTTGTTTGGTTAAAATGCATTTACTTTTAAATTTTGTTATTGCATAATGTTAAAAAAAATGCCTGGTGTTTACCAAGCACAAAGGAAGATGTATTTTTATGAGATTAAAGACTAAAGTGGAAGGAACTTCCAAAATGCACAGTAGTGCTTGTAGCTACACTACCACTCAACTCATTTGAACAGTGTACAGGAATTTTAAAACTATTTTAATACCAAACGACCATTAGCTCTGCAGTGGGTTAGTAATGTTTTGAATGATTTCATAATCAACAATTTTATTGAAAAATATATAAATGAAGTAATTTTTAAAAATACAGAAATGCAAGTCAAACCTGACAATGTTTTTCTTTCTAACAGGTGGATAGAAGCTTTTCAAGAAGGCACTGTATTGTAGTGACTTCTTCAATACTATCTCATGGTCTAAAGGAGCAAAATGTTGAAGTATGGTAATAAACGGAGTATAGCAACTCTGTTTAAAAATAATATGGAATTCTGCTAGAATCAACCTAAACAAAATTGTATATTTATCAAAATTAGGGAAGCTGTTGCCTTTTTTAGGTGTAAGGTCATATTTTTTTAAAGAAATGTGTGTATTTGTTTTTCATACAATGTGCTATTTATTAAATTCCAATGTTTACTTAATGGTCAGAATCATTTCTGAGATTCATATGAAATTCCAAAGTGCCCTTGTGTTTAGAATAGTGGATAGCTTTGTCAGAAAACTGTTAGTAAGTTTGTAACAAAAAAAACACACAAAAAACCCATGCATGAACACACACACGTACTACACTCTTTGCTGCAGCATATCTTTTGTGCAGTTCGTGAATTTGCAATTTAACAATAAAAGTTAAAAACAAAAAAACAAACAATATTCCAAAAGAGGTTAGATGTGGACGCTTGTTCAGTTACGTTAACTCTTTTGACAAGAAGTCATTTAGCTGAGATGCTGCTCTTTAAGAGCCCCAGTCCCATGGGACACTGCTGTTGATCCATACAGACATTTCTACATCATGTAGGCCCTAAATATTAAGGCTGCTACTTCATATAAGCTTCTGTAACAAAAGCAAACATTTCTAACAAGGTATTGAGTTAGTTATTAAAGGAAGTGGAAAGGAGGAAAAAATCAATGCATCGTTCTTTATGTAGCCTACAATTCTGGAAATTATGTACCACAGCTGTTATCAAATTGTGGATGCCAAAGGTATGTTAATGTATTGTCTAACAAGAAATGGCAGGGGAAATTCTTTCAAATTTCAGTAGGATTATAAAGCACAGCCAAATATTAATGTTTTGGTATGTGGGTAAAAGATGAAACCTCTTACCTCCAATTGTTTCAAAAGCCATTTGATGCCATTGCCAGTTCCATTTTGAAACGAAGGGTCTGAATATTTTGAAAACTGAAAATATACATTTAACTATTTAAACTGGAATCATCATATCAAGAAAGCACAATAATTTTAGTGAAAGTGACTTTAAAAATGTGTACCATTCGTTTTAGTGCACTATTGGGTAACTTCTGCTTGACACTTTAAACTCCAGTCTTCCAGCTGTGTGTGTGTGTGATGGGTGGTTTTGTTGTTGTTTGGGTGTGTTTGTTTTTTTTTAAATTGTCAGTACACCTCATTAGGAAACCATTATACTGATTTTTTTTTTTTTTTTTTTTAATGGTGCATATATGCTATTTATTTTTTTTTTAAACTGTATATCTCTGTATAACATGAATGGAACTAACACTATGAAAAAATCAAGAAAAGCCCAAGGGAGCAGTATTTACATATAAAATAGGAAGCTTGTGTATAGCCATCCTGTTCATTTTTACTGTGTAAACCTAAAAAGAAAAGATCATCTGGGTGAGTGTGGGTTTTGGTTATGGTATTAAGAACTGTCCTCTTGGTTGTTGATTCAAATCTATGCCAATAGGTAGTTGATGGATGTTACCAATTGTGTCCTTATCTACAAAAGGGAATTTTAGAAAAACCTTCTCCCTTGATTTATCAGTTCTCCTGTAGCAGTGGGAGTCCTAGTATAGACATGACTTTGTAAACTCCTGATGTTGTTATCAGAGTGTTGATTAAACCTCCAGTTCAGGAGTTTTTAAAGTTGTGACTAATTTTAAGAATCTGAGTACTACCTCCCCAACCAATTTTAATAGGATTGATCACATGCTTGAAGATAGGCCCATATTTAAGTATCTTGATGAGCCAAGGACTTAACTGGATTTCACTGATTTAATGGTAAAATGCTAGAAGCTTTTATCTGTCCTATAGCTTCTACTTGATGAAGATGAACTGATGGCAGTGCCAGTGGAAATTTTGTCTTTGCAAAGATCCCATAATATAAAACAGTTTGTATCCAAAGGTTTTCTCTGTGAAATGAACTGGTGGACTTGCTCTGGTTCCCAGTATATGTGGATAACGCCACAAAATACATGACCAGAAATAGCAGCCAGTGGTCTTAACAGAGGAGCTAGAAACATGGAAGCTAATATAATTTCTTCCTTCTTGGTAGTAGTCCCTCAGGATTAAGACTAAGATGTATGCATTGGGCAACTGTAGGGATGTTTGTGTTGTTACATTTCTTGTTCTGTTGGTAAAAGGTTTAGAGTAATAATTCACCAATGTATTTGAATATATTCCTAACTTCTAGTGCACGAGTAATTTCATTGATTTCAGTGCATGAACAGTTCCACTGACTTCAACAGAACTGAAATAAATCCACTACAGAAAGGAAGCTTATTAAGTTTCAGTGTGTTTGTGTTACTCCCTCACTACAAAACAACCAACCCAATGAAGTCAATACACAGCAAGGAATATGGTGCACGTATCCTGCTTGATAGGGTTTTACAGCTGGCAGTATCACCTGATCTGCTATATACCTCTGACTTGATGCAGAGTAAAAGAACATCTTCCATGAGTTATTGCTGAGGCAGTTGATTGAATCCAGAACCAGTTTCTGTAATATATATTATATTATAATATTCTGTAATATTATATATATAATAGCATATATAATATAATTATATAAAAAAATACTTCAGAAACTGGTTCTAGATTCAGTCGACTACTTCAGCAGTGTGTGTGTATATATATCTCTAAAACACCCATACAAATAAAACAATCTCTTTATGAAGTAAAACAGATGAGATTTTGACAGTCTAAATGCTATCAAACTTTCTCAACATTTGTCCTTCTGTCATGTGTGAAGAAAACTTTGAAGATGTACATGATGGACAATGGTTAGAGACAACAAGTGTTTGGTTAAACCAATCCTCTGCGGTTTTTTCAAGCTAACATGGTCATTTTTGTATTCATATTGTAAGTGACCAGAAAGTGAAACTAATTAGTATATTTTCATTGACAAAACAAAATAAAGTCATAGAAATTACATAATTAATATATTACCACTTTTTAATTTTGTTTTAATAATTAAAAAAAAATAATAGCAGGTTAGGATATTAATTGTAAACATAATAGTAATAAAATTTAGCATGTTCCCTTCTAAAAATATAATTTGAACCTGGCAATATCTCTTGAAGTTTTAAAGGTTTTAATATACATGCTAATATGTTGATTTAGCACATCTTTGATCCAATACGATCAAAGTCCTAAATTCAGGTTTTCATTTGATTCTCATACCAGCCAATCAAGCAATATTTGTAAACTAGCAGTTTTTAAAACAACTGGCTACCTCTGTATTAGAAACCACAGTTAATGTTTAAGATTCATTAGTAGAATGTCTGATAAGCATTGGCATTAAAAATTAGTTAGAACATCTTTTTTTCTGGGTAAGTAAAGGTATTAGATTGCAGAATTCTACTGTTTTATAAGAAAACTAAGCTGAAAACTTTTTAAAAATTTGCTACAATACACTTACTATAAACAAGGATTGATTAACTATCAATGAACAACACTTTAGTAAACTAGATTAAGCAATTTTGTGGAGGGTATCTACCAAAAAGTGTTTTAGTAAGTAAATCTGTCAGGGTTAGAGACAGGCATTTAGTACATTTGTTTGCCATATCTGCTGTTCATTTATACTTGTTTTCCAAATATACTTTATTTGGAGAGTCCTAGACTGTACTGTATTGTCTAAATGAAAGAATAGAATCTTTTATTTTGTAAATTAAGAGTTGAAAGTCATTGTAAATAGTTGTTGTGGATATGTATCGTGTGTACAAAATAAATTCCTGAAAGTTAATAGTAAACTTTTTTCTTTATGCATTTTTACAGTCACCTGAATCTTGTGTATTTATTTATTTCTCCAATTCTAGAATTTGCTGAAGAGTTGTTCTTCAGAATCACTGGTTTCACTTTTTTTTAAGTGTTCTGATTCTTAGAGTTGCCAAGAAAATGTGGAAATGATGAACTGTGTGTAAACTAGTGCTGTGTCTGCCTGGGTTCACTCACACCTCTAAGAAATATGAATTATTCCATCCATCCTTCAGGGTGCAGTGCAGTGTAGTGTAATTATACAGCTGTAATATTTGCTATTTTGTTCCAACCAAGTGTCTTATATTTGGTTTTCCATCTCCTTGCCCTGAGAGATTTGTCTGTGACTGCTTTTTGTTCAGTTTCCCCCACAAACAGGTGTCAGACCAACCTGGTGGCTTTTTATGGTCAGATCACCAGATCATTAGATGCAGGGGTAGCAGTGGACATTGTCTTCCTGGACTTCCGGAAGGCTTTTGACACTGTCTCTCACCCCGTTCTCATTAAGAAAATGGGAGGCTGTGGTGTAGACACCCACACAGTCAAATGGGTCGCCAACTGGCTAGAGGGCCACACCCAGAGGGTGGTAGTGGATGGGTCCTTCTCAACTTGGAAGGACGTGGCCAGTGGGGTTCCGCAGGGCTCGGTCCTCAGGCCCACACTGTTCAAC